TATTACTGTATTCCTCAGTTAAGATTGTAAATTATTACTGTGTTCCTCAGTTAAGATTGTAAATTATTACTGTGTTCCTCAGTTAAGATTGTAAATTATTACTGTGTTCCTCAGTTAAGATTGTAAATTATTACTGTGTTCCTCAGTTAAGATTGTAAATTATTACTGTGTTCCTCAGTTAAGATTGTAAATTATTACTGTGTTCCTCAGTTAAGATTGTAAATTATTACTGTGTTCCTCAGTTAAGTTTGTAAATTATTACTGTGTTCCTCAGTTAAGATTGTAAATTATTACTGTGTTCCTCAGTTAAGATTGTAAATTATTACTGTATTCCTCAGTTAAGATTGTAAATTATTACTGTGTTCCTCAGTTAAGATTGTAAATTATTACTGTGTTCCTCAGTTAAGATTGTAAATTATTACTGTTTTCCATGATTGTAAACTACTTTATCCCTCACATACAATCATGATTGTAAATGATTACTGTATCCCTCTAATGCTAACATGATTTTTAATCATTATGCCCATTATTACTGTAAACCTGTAAATACCAATATAATTGTAAGTTTACAGGTAATTAGTGTGATAGTAAATGATAGTAAGAATGACCTTGTATGTTTATTCCAGGGAGATAAAAGTATGTTATCATGATGATATATCACTAGATACCTTAATATATTTATATTACCTATCTTTATCATAATGATAATATTATTCAACTGTCATTATCTTAACATTATACAAGGTTTTTCTACCATCTGACACATCTATATTTATTATTGAGTTTGGTAAAATCTGTCAACTTGACATCTCAGATCTTTACCTGCAGAATGGTATCTTAAAACAATGACTTCTTCAAAGATCCAAGGTTTTTATTTGCCAAAGTGCTGTTTTCCATCAGTAGGACCATGTTGTTTTGGTGTAATAAACCTAATTCTGATCCATGTAAAAAATTTCATTATTATTTAAATATGAATTTTTGATTTTGCCTTTATTCTTTAATTTGAACCCGCATTATTGACCTCTCCTCATACTGACTACTGCAGTTTCATAGCATGACAAATCTTGCCCTACCCATTCCATTCTTCATACAACTCTGTCAATAAAGCCAGAGGTAATTACTGATGAACAACTTCCCTAACACACATGTGAATACAATCAATTCACCTAGACTTCAGAGTTTTTGTCATTATCCAATAAGCATCTCTGGGATATTCCCCTCTATATGTATTCATGTATTATTGAGCAAGAATCTAGTTAGCAAGAATTTGAGTCTTAGTCTAAAAGGCTCCATGTTGTTATTTCAACACCAGCAATGATAACAACACTGCAAATTATAATAACAGAATAATAATATTATTATAATCCCAACAACATTATAATCTCCTTTTCTTCGCATCAGCTTCTTAAAGTTAATGCAAAGTGTAACTCTTGTCTAGGTCTTGATGCAGAGTTTTCAATACTATATATGTTAGTGATCTTTCTATCAATTAATGGCAGCTGTACAGTGTATGAAAATGATGCTGCGCTACTTAGGCTCGACTGGTGGCACATCATCTGCTTGTGATTTTTGATGTGCAGTTCTTCACCCAATGTTGTTTTGAAAATGTCTATCTTTCTATATTTCTGGCCATTAATAATAAATGGCTTAACCAGATAGTAAGCATCAAATAATTTTTGAGATTGTAAAACGAAATTTACTCTATGTATGCACTGAAAGAATATCTCTTTGCACTAGTAAGCTAGGAGAATCTCAATTCATATGAAAATGTAACATTATTCTTGCTATTACCTTTAAGGTAAGAAAAAAACACTAATGGTGTTCTCGGTTGATCTGACAACAAACACTCGATATTACTGTTCCCCTGCAGGCACTATTTCTCTTTATTTGTTTTGCTGATCTAGTAATTTACAATTCTTGCGTATGTTTACTACGTCTAATTCACAAATTAATGAAAATTTGTCCTTGCCTTCAATCCATAAAATGGTCTTTTCTGCTGCAAGCAAATACAACTAATACCAAAATATTATACTCAACATTCTGCTGATGTCAGAAAATGATAGTTTCAAGGAATGATCTTTGACCAGTGCCTAAGTTTGATATAGGATCACACTCCAGGCTACATGATTCATCTTTCTTGACATTATTCTAATGTTTGAAATTTATTCCTGCGTAAAATGGTACAGAAAAAGAGACACTTGACTTTTAGGTGACAACATAGTTGTAGGTCAAGGCTATTCACAGGGTCTGGTAACTCTTCTTGAAGAAGTTTATATTAGTCCTAGTAGTTACCTTGATGTAAAAAACAATGGCACTGAATAATGGAGAGGTTTCAAGGCATGTACAGTATACCATTCTTAGAACGATAATCAATTACATTGCAACAATCTATTGAGTCTGTTCTGAAAACAGTTTCAAGGCCACCGCGGATAGATTGCTGGGAGGAGCAGCAGTGGCTCAGTGACATACATGCTTGCTTAATAAATTGAAGGTCCATAGTTTAATCCTGGAATAAGTCCCAATAATAGCTTTGGGTTTTTTTAACCCGGTTTCCCCCTGTCGGTGATGTAAGTCGAAGGGGCTGATATCCCTCAACAAAGTAGACAACACTGCAGTCTTGTTGGCAACATTTTTCTCAATGTCTATGCATGGTTTTGCGTGTCTTCATTAGCCCAATTAGGTGCAGTAGAGAAGGATATAGAACTCATTTCATTTTTTCTAGATTGCTCAGGAACGAAAATGTTTCAGATCACTTGCCTGGTTACAGTATTGGTTCATCTGTTTTGTTTTAAGAACTTCTCTGAGAATAGACAATTTTTGTAATGTAAAAGCAAGTTAATGTTTATCTTCTGTATGCAATGCACCTGATTCCATAGCCTTCCTATGTCTGTTAATTTAGACAGTAAATAAGGTAGAATTGTGTAATTTGGTCTAAGTTAATTACGTGTAAGAATTGGTCTAGTCTGGAATGATTGTCAATTAAAGCAAGTTAGAATGATTTAAGAGAGGTTTAAGACAGCTATGTTTTAATTTTCTACCCAGTTTTATTCTACTTTATCAATGTTTGAATCAATTAAAACTGGGGATCCTGTAATTATCTTTATTTTCCTATCAATAACCTGACTTTAATTTAGCTAGACTTATATTTATTAGGCTACCAGAGCTGGGTGGGCAGGGAGACTGTAAATATATATATCTTGGAAGAAAGGCTACACCTTTCATGCATGTTAGTGATAGGCTATGTAGAGAGATTTGAAGGTACACCAGATGGTACTTCTCCTTTAAAGAGTCCACTACTATACAATTATTACTCCAATTGTGTCATGCTTTGGATGAGAATTTTTTTTTATTGATACCAAATTAACGAGTTGTATCAGTAGAAGAAAACTAGTATATCAGCAATGATTATTCTTAACTTTTCAACATGTTTAGAAATGACACTGTAAATTAAAATGCAAATGAAAAACTCATTTCACACCAAATTAAAACAGCTCTATAGATATTTAATATTTACCAAATGTATATAATTATACTGTAAATTAAATTAAATGTACTGATGTGCAATTGTAAATCAAAATGATAACTCACCTATCTTGACAAACTGTTTAATTTATTCATTGTCTTGGGGAATAACTAGTACCTGAAACATAGTAAAATCTCATTATTTCTTTCTTGGGATTCCACTTGAATAATGTCTGTCAATATTTCATGTTATTTCCATTTAAACATCTCTTAAACATCTCTTAAACAAGGTGCAACTGATGAGGAGTACCAAGTAGAAAAAACAACTGAATAGAACACAGGAGCATTTTGAATTAAAAAAAAAAGGCATTTAAATCTTTACTAGTGGGTCTAGGCCATCTTGAAACTCACAAGAAACATTAGCATCATTAGCATCATTGCCACATTGTAAAATGAGACCAAAAATAGTTATAGTTCTCTTTTAAATCCTTCATTAAATTTAATAAAAACTTAGTATGAAGAGGGCAGCTTAAAGGGATTGTAAAGAGGTTTTCTAAATTTTTAATATGTATCAACCTGCTGATCAATTTTCATCATACCAGTTTTCAATTAGACATTTGTGGTTTCAGCAATTCCACTAAAACTAAGTGTTTGGTGATGTCACTAAGTCCTTAAGCGATAAAGCAAATTTCACGTTTAGTGCATTATCGAACACTTAGTAGCAGTGGAATTGTAGGAACATTGGAATGGTGCAAAATTTTAGAAAAGCTCTTTGCAATCCCTTTAAATATTAATAAGAACTACTCCTATAAGAATAAAGTTTCTGATTTATTTTCTGTCTGAAAAATAAATAAATGGAGGAGCCAAATATTTTACCAGTTAGTAAGAAATTGATTTTGTTAGAATACTGAATGGAATAAGAAGAAAAGATGTTATAATAAGTGCGAACAAGTGTGAAAATTTAATAGTAACCATTTTTTGTTGACATGGATAAGAGTTAAAATTTGATTGTGATATATATTATTGATGGTATAGGATAAAATGGTGGTCAATACCAGTCTTAGTTTACAGAAACTCAACATCAATATTTCATACCCAATACACTCCTATCTTGATTATATTTATGTACTTAAATATCAGGAGTCAGTATATTCCCAGTTCCCAGAAATATTTTTCTTCTTTTTTTAACTTGCAATTTGATTAGTGATAAGGTAATTTGACTTTGTTAAAAGATACAACTTGACAGTATATTTTGGTTTCTTCATTGAATTGCCTGTTTATTCAAATTTGCAAGGCAGAAATTTGCCTTCTGGAATATGATGCAATTAGGCCTGTGGAGATAAACTTTGAGCACATTCACAGGAACATGAAAGAAGAATAGATCCTCAAACTCTGAGGGTATATATATATTCATACATCCTTTTCATCATTCAAGCCCTCGGTTGAAATTTAGATTATGCATATGAGATTGATAAATACATGATGCACACACTGTGGCAATCAGAAATCCTAATTCTGGTTTTGGAATTTTGACCTACTTATTGATAAAAGTGATTCTGAGTCTTCTTACAGTGGCACTGAATATCTTCTAAATATGGTACTAAGTATTTATGGTACTGAATATCGTCTAAATGTGGTACTAAGTATTTATGGTACTGAATATATTCTAAATATGGTACTAAATATTTATGGTACTGAATATATTCTAAATGTGGTACTAAATATTTATGGTACTGAATATATTCTAAATATGGTACTAAATATTTATGGTACTGAATATATTCTAAATATGGTACTAAGTATTTATGGTACTGAATATCTTTTAAATGTGGTACTAAGTATTTATGGTACTGAATATATTCTAAATATGGTACTAAATATTTATGGTACTGAATACATTCTAAATGTGGTACTAAATATTTATGGTACTGAATATATTCTAAGTATGGTACTAAATATTTATGGTACTGAATATATTCTAAATATGGTACTAAGTATTTATGGTACTGAATATATTCTAAATGTGGTACTAAGTATTTATGGTACTGAATATATTCTAAATATGGTGCTAAATATTTATGGTACTGAATATATTCTAAATGTGGTACTAAATATTTATGGTACTGAATATATTCTAAATATGGTACTAAATATTTATGGTACTGAATATATTCTAAATATGGTACTAAGTATTTATGGTACTGAATATATTCTAAATATGGTACTAAATATTTATGGTATTGAATATATTCTAAATATGGTACTTAGTATTTATGGTACTGAATATATTCTAAATATGGTATTAAGTATTTATGGTACTGAATATATTCTAAATATGGTACTAAGTATTTATGGTACTGAATATATTCTAAATGTGGTACTAAATATTTATGGTACTGAATATATTCTAAATGTGGTACTAAGTATTTATGGTACTTAATATATTCTAAATATGGTACTAAATATTTATGGTACTGAATATATTCTAAATATGGTACTAAATATTTATGGTACTGAATATATTCTAAATGTGGTACTAAGTATTTATGGTACTGAATATATTCTAAATGTGGTACTAAATATTTATGATACTGAATATATTCTAAATATGGTACTAAGTATTTATGGTACTGAATATATTCTAAATGTGGTACTAAGTATTTATGGTACTGAATATCTGATATAAAAATTGTCTGAGGTACTGATATAATGAATAGTATAATGATTGAGGTTGATATATCACTACTTTAAAGAAATGTTGATTAATCATTTGTATCCCTGATTATTATCGTTTTATTGTAAATCATTCAACATCACAGTCAATGCAGTATTGATTCAAGCTGCGAGTTCATCCGACGTTTTTGTCAGATTCGACAATTAAAGATTTTATGATGTCAGAGTTTGTGAGACTGTATATTAATGGACTAGTAACACAATAGAAAATTAATGTGCCGATTTTTATCAGAGCTTTTTTATTGGGTATTGTAACGTTTTGAGAAAAATCGCGTAACCATGTTTTTAGAAAAATAACGTTAGAAGTGATTTTTTATAGTCAAGAGATCAATAACCAATGCATTATGTAAGAAACACAGTCATCAAGAAAATGAATGAATTTAATTAGAATATTTTTCACCACTATTATTCTACTAACCTCTCACAATTAATTGTTGGAAAGAGTCAAGATTTATTTCTATTTAGCATTAAGTGAAGATCCATATTGAAGACTAAATGTCATCTTTAATGTAGAGTTCTTATCTCACGAGAATAATGACATAATGAATGTGAAGATTTGGTATATTTTAAGCATTTTTTGATGTAGTTTTTTAGATATCTTGTGTTACACCTCATAATGGTATGTGTACATGGCAATTGGTGCATATCAATTTTTTCCTTTATTGATTCAGAAATTCTTGAAAAATTTGTAAACTTGTTGACAACTATCTTAGTAAAGATTTAAGATAACTTAACAAGCTGTATGCCATTAATTAAGTTGAACTGTGTTTGATGATGTTGTCCCTTAAAAGGAGTGTTTGGGCCAGGAGCAGGATGGTAGATAATTTTTTTATGTAAATTGTTTTTATGATCAGTCCTCAACTGTAAGACTCTCTCATTAATAATTTAAATACAATTCACAAATATTTCACTAGGTTTAATTCAGGTTTAATTACAAAATGTTTCACTCAGTTTATTCAAGGTTTAATCACAATTCACTATAATTTTACTCAGTTTAGTTCTCTGGCCAATTTGATCTCTTTATAACAATCTTAGTGATCACATTTAATAAGTTGTCTTGTATTTTGTAATTAGTGGAGTAGAATTTGAACAGTGGACTATATGTCGTTTGGTTTGCTATTATTGTTGGTAACTGATTTTAAGACTTTAGTAATGCCCACTTAGAATGAAAAAAAACAATATGTTACAACTGATAAATTACTTGCTCTGTGGAAGAGTAAAATGATAAAAAGTCTGTTCTACAAGAAAGATTGTCATGTCTAGTGGTGTCTTGTTTAATTCCCATCATGCAACACTGTCTCAATGGAATTTAAATAATTAAATAACCATGACCTGTGTTAAAATTTCATTAAATAATGGTAAAGGATCATAATTAGATATGGCAATAACAGGAACAATGAAAGAAACATTAGAAATGAGGTAACTTGAGGCTATTTTTTATTGGTTGGTTCTGGTCTAGATATTGACAGATCGAAAATTGAATTGGAAAATAAAGCATGAAGGTAATGCATATTTAAAGGGACAATATTTGACCAATCATTCTTTAAGGATTTTTTAGCAAAGCTAATCAATACTAGTGTTCACAGCACACCGTCAGAATTTTAGCCTTCAAATCCATGTGTATCAAGAATTATCTGCGATTGAATGTTAAAATGATGACTTTAGGCTATATTAGTGCATTTCTAGTACTTCTAAAGAATATTTACATGTTTTCAAGACCCAAATAAAACCTAAAAAATGACGAACCTTTCCCTGTAAATAAACTGAGGCTTTGTTATGAAATTGACTGAAAATCAGAACGCAAGAAGAAATTGAATTGAACATACGAACTTAAGCCAATGCTATAGCCAGGTATTTTGAAGTTAAAATCAAACATGACTGGCAAATTAAGAAAAACAAAGAATCATAATGCAACATATTTTACAATCTAAGCTATTGCATATCAATATTTATGTATTTATGGTTGTATGCAGGTGTATTTACATGTTTGTAGTTATAAATTTATACAAAAAAACAAAAGTTAGCATATTTAATTTGTCAATTTGAGTAATTAACTTTCAGGTTATTACCTTAGATTTTTTAAGGATAGCTGTATTTATAGGTCAAGAAATTAAATGAAGTTCAAGTCTTTATTTTCTGCTCCAGTTTATGGCAGATACTCAAAATATTGTTGCAAATTTTATATAGCCTATTGATACCTAAAGCTTTTAAACTACAAGATGCTGAGTGGCAAACTTAATGGATAGACTTAAAGGGGTTGTACAAAGGTTTTTTAGGGGTTTTTTTGTGCATTGGCTTCTTTTTGATTCATTAAAGTTTCAGTCAGATGTATGTATTTTGTCACTATATTATATTATTAGCAGCTTTTGTGATAGCGACATCATAGAATGCTTAGTTTTAGTGACATTGCATGACCCATAGATGCCCTAAGGTGCAAATGATGGTAACAGTGTGCCCTATACACTTAAAAATTGTGGAAAAAGTTCTTTGTACAATCCCTTTAAAGAAAGACCAACAGTAATGATAAGGATCCAATGAATTCTGAAATCACCATTGATTTTATTTATTATTCTCTTGACAAACTCAATTACTGCTGCATGCAGCTCGTTATATAACCTCTTGGATATTCATTATTTGACTTGTCGATACAGAAGGTCCTGTTAGACCACTTGAAGTGGAGAAAACAGACTTGAAATGTAATGTTACAGAGTTGAAGTAGGTTGTACATCATTCCTTCATTTCTACCTCCATCACTTAAACCAGAATGCCAAAGTTTAAAGCTTTTAAATCCAAAAATTGGATTAAACTTTCCCAGCAGTTAATTTTTTGGAATCTTTTATGGTTACAATTTAAATCCTGCAGGTCTTTTACTCAAGTAACCTTCCTGCAAATTATCAGAAAAATTCCTTTCTTCAAGTAATTACCACAATTGCAGATTCCAAACCTTTTATGGTTAAATTGTAAAAACAAAAACACCATAGAATTGTAAAAGAATTAAAATTTTCTTTCAGTCTGATTAACAGATTGAGAGGAAAGTTTTCTGTGATTTAAAAGAAAATGAATATCTCTGGAGGAATTTAGTTCTCCATTCATTATTCCATTCTATTAAAGGGACAGGTCTGCCAACTGTTTGTCCAATATTACCTTAGTAATGTGAATTTTGTAGCTAAGTTAATCAGTAATACTAATACTAATAAAAGCTCATCATTGAAATTTGACCCTTCAAATCCATGTGTGGCCAGAATTATCTGTTTGAAAGTTAAAATGACCACTTGTCCTGTCTTGAAACTTGCAATATACAGAAAAGACATATATAGAAATAGAAAGTTTTAAGTATATTTGAAGAAATTATGCAATTATTTACATATTTACATGAAGTCCTAAATCTACCCCTGAAAATAGCAAACCATGGGATTTAAAACAGAATTGTCAATGATAGTGGGGTAGCTCAGAAACAATTCATACCCTGATGTTAAATGATAAGATGATTTGAAGTGGGAGGAGGGCTCAAGGTTCCATCCTAGGCCTGAATCAAACCCTCCATTCCTCAAAATTGAAATATAGATGACACATGATTGAATATCTTCTCCAGAAGTTGACCAAGACATTGTTTGTGTCCAAGTTTTTTTTATCATGAAGTAAATTGTGTAGGTACTCTAACAAGTATAGGTGTTTGAATGAGTTTTGGCACAAAGAAACTGTAGGTTACTATTGTCTAAGTTAAGCCTTGGCTTTAGGGACTCTACACACAGGTTATTGAGAAAATATCTTTCATTATTCTTAGTACTTTGTTGTTATTTACAGTTAATTTAACAGTTTGTGTACCAAATACTTCGGCCTTTAGCTATAATATTGTTTTTTGATTTCATCTCTCTAACATAGTTTGAATAAATCTAAACTGGACAGTGGACATTATAATTTTGTTGAAATCTATCTAGTTTATAGTGTTGCTATCAGATTCTTTGAATTAGTTTGACACTTATGATAAGATACTTGCAACTGAGGATGATAAAGTAAAAACTGCACAATGTTTATCTTTTGTTTAAGACAGAGTACCTTAAGAACTGTTAATTGTAATTGGAAAAGAACAAAGGAGTTTCAAAGTGGCTAAGGTTGTCTTTGAAACCAAACACATTTCCATTAACCAAACAATCCTAGAGACATAATATCATATTTTACATTGGTCATGTCATAATGGTTGCTGAAATGTTGAAGCCAGCAGGATTCTACTTCCAGTCAGAGAATGTTTTTCTTGAAATCTCCAGGCCTGTCTCAGATAGTAACTTATTCTTTGTTCTGTGATTTGAAATCAAAGACCACCTTCACACCCTGCCACTAGAAATGACCTTTAAAATATTTTCTTATTTATGAATGCTCTTTCTATGATATCATCTCTCTATCTTAATATATTAACAGTTGTAGATGACAAGTTAATCTTTCCTTTACAAAGTAGCTCTTTAAATTATTCCCCTCCTGCTATTTCTGTTAAAATAACTAAGTACATGACCAATTTCTTGTCTAGACTCAGCAAGATGTTGTCTTCCTTGATAGCTAGTACTTCATGCCACGATACAATACAATCATGTCTAATTCCATCTTTTTAACTTTTTCCACACCAGTAAAATACAAGACAAGCGGAAATTGGCAACCATTGTAAATCATGTAAGACCAATAAGACTATAGATCCAGCCATTAGTTTCATACTGAAGTTTAGATTGACCATCTTGTGTGAAGAATTGGTTTAAATGGTGTTCAGTCATTCTAATAATTGAACTTCTTTCTCATTGTCTGTAGAATATTAAAAAATAGATTACAGCTTGTTTTTCTTTAACTTTTGAAGTAAACAGACAAACTTCTTTGCTACTTATAGAATGTTAATTTAACTCTGTGTCATTTTTAAAAGTAGACTTAGAAAAAACCTTTTTCACTGCCATATGATGATAATGATTTCAACATGTTCTTCTTTAACTTTTGAAGTAAACAGACAAATTTCTCCACCACTTATAAAACTTTAATTTAACCTTGAGTTATAAACAAGGCATAGACTTACAAAAAATTACCATACCACTTCTGAATATAAGCAGTGTTACTTTCAATATATGTAATGCTCATTCTTTTAGATACTGCAAGAAGTAGACTTCACAAAAAACCTGTTTCACTGCCATAATGGAGCCACTATCAATACGTGGTATGCTCATTCTTCTAGAAAACTTATGACAATCCCCAAATGGGATTATCAATTGCCAATATTCATAGAGTCAACATAGTTGTTCAGGCCAATTTAACAAAATAATTTGTGATTAAAAAGTGAAGAAGTTGAACAGAGTATATACAGGGCACAAGCTAAGGGGCGACGTGGGCGAAAAAGTCGCCGTATGGTTCCAAAAGTCGCCTTATATTTTATTCCTTGCGATTTCAAGTCGCCTCAATTCAAAAATTCGGCCTCGAAAGGCGAAACAGCATGATTGTCTTCTATTTACTTTGGCTATTAATAGTTTAGTCGACGGTTATCAAGTCTCTAATAGTTCGCAAAGGCTGTATACAAATTATTTTTGTTAGATAATCACGTCTATGATTTTAACCAATGGAATCCCTCTCAAGCATTTGATGCCAGTTTTTAACTTTTAATTACCGAAACTTTTATTGACTACCAACCACCAATTCATTGAATAAATATCATTTCATGGCCATATTATTTCTTTTTATCAATTCCCATTGGTCGAAATGAATTATGTTTCGTGTGTTTCCAATGAAAATCGCTTATTTATCCGTATTTAGTTTTAAATTAAATAAATAAACACCGATTAAAAGCTTGTGTTCTGGGTATGACAAGATGGCCGCCGAAGATAATAAACAAAGGATCGAGAAAGCGTGTTGTTTGAAAAGGAATATTATGAAACAAATGCTTTTCGCACTTTGGTTGATAACTTTTGACACCATTGATAAAAGATTAATCTACTATTGAGTGATTCTAATTGTAAATATGGCCTGGGCAAGTCATTGTTTGAGGAAACAACTTTCTTTGTGCGGACACTCATTTATAAAACATCGTCTTTTCGATCCAACCAGTATGCATTTTGATTTAGCAATATGTCATTACAAAGTTGGCTCTCACCCTCTCTTAAGACTAGTTCGAAACGTCCATTGGAAATATCGGTAAACAATACGAATCAGTCTAGCCCTAGTCAAAGTTCACCCAAGAAACGGAAGTTTAGTAAAGAGCTTTCTCAAACGGCCTTTAACTGGTACGTTTTGGATACAGATAAATCCAAATGGTTTTGTAAAGTATGTAGGGAAGCTAAGAACGATACAGCATATGCCAGGGGACATGAAATACCAGCTAAAACTACAAACCATGCAAGACATGCTGCCTGTAAGTATTCTAAGAAGTCATTATTAATTTAACATTATTTCAACCAATTCAAAATTATATAAATTGTTCTCTTTATAACATTTGATTGACTTATTTTAAGGTGAAGTGTTATAATTTTATTCCTTAATGTTTTTCAGCTCAAGCCCATTTAACAGCTGTCACTAGAAGTAAATTGAAAGATCAGCAACCATTCCAGACCATTGTAGCTAAACAATTAGATGCTGAAGAACAGAACATGCTTGGTTACTTCTATATTGCATATCATCTTGCCAAAAGGGAACTACCCAAGAGTGAATTTGCCTACCAGTTAGAATTGTTAGATATGTTTGGACACCAAAGAAACAAGTTTTCATCATATACAAGTCACCAAAGTGTCACAGAATTTCAAAGTGCTATTTCAAGTGTAATTTTGGCTGAGTGCATGGAGAAAGTGAGGGATTCTGTTTATTACTCATTAGTTGTTGATGAAAGTACAGATTTGTCAAACAGCAAGAGATTGTTGGTTTATATACAATTTCAAGATGTGCTCAATTTACCCCACTTGAAATATGCACAGTTTCATGCAGTAAGGTGGTTGAGTTTGGAAAGGGCTGTTACTCTTATCTATAGGACTTATCCAGCATTGGTCATGTCATTATCTGTTGAATCTGAATTAAGTTCAAATGCTAAATTGTTGTATAAAGATGTGTCCCAATATAAATTCATAGCAATAACACACTTATTGATGGATATTTTGCCTTTTTTAGGGAAATTATCCAAGATATTTCAAACGTCAAAACTGGACTTTAGTAAAATTAAACCAGCAGTTCAAATGACTGTGGATGGCCTTGAGGACTTGATTCATTCTGAAGGCGTTTTTGTATCTAAGCTGGATGATTTCATAGTTAATAATGACCAAGACTATTTATACCAACAGCCAGAATCTGAATGCCAATCAAAAGAAATTAAACGTAATGTCAATGAAAATCTTGATGGGTTTGATGGCTTTGAGAATGATGATGAAATTGAAAATTGTAATCAAGTTATACTGAAAAATTATCCCAACCAAAAAGACATATTAACAAAGTTTGTCAAGGTTTGTTGAAGTGGATATTGTTAATAGCATGTCAGTCCCAGTGCCATCAAACATTATTAAACACAGTAAAGATATCAAATATGGTCATGAGGACATTTTGCTATTAGCAGATAATTTTGCTAAAAATTTTGATATTGACAGTAATTCTTGTGTTATAGAATATAGACAGTACAAAAGATTATGTATTAGTGCCTATAAAGATTTTTCATTTCAAGATGTTTGCAGTGCTGTCTGTATGCTATACCAAGAATTGCTTCCAAATTTAATAATGATATTGAAATGTTGTTTACTTATACCAGTATCTAGTGTGCAGTGTGAAAGGGGGTTTTCTACGCAAAATAGAATTAAGACAAAATTTAGATGCTCTGTTAAAACTGGTGTTTTAAATGACTTGATGAGAATTGTTGAAGATGGGCCTGAAATCAAAGAATTTGATTTTAAAAATGCTGTAACAATTTGGAAAAATGAAAAAAAGAGAAAAGCCTTTTCTCTATGATTCATAAGTGTGCATGGATTTTTAAATATTTTTGATATTGTTTAATTTTTAATTTAATTGATTATTTTTAATGCTTGTTGTTATGTTTTAAATGAATATTTTTTAGCATGTAATGAAATAAATGACAAAGTGATTTAAGTAAAGAGGTGTCTGTTATTTAACACACATTAATTATTATACAATCAATTGTCATCACAGCATGACACATTTTCCAAATACTTTAACGCGTGTAGAAGTCTCCCCAAAATTAATGAAGTCTCCCTAAATTTTCATGAGGGAGAAGTGATGTCTCCCTAAATTTTTGGTCTGGCTTGAGCCCTGAGTATATATATCTCCTTAAATTTGAATGACCTAAATAAAATGATCTGATCCAATGGTAACTCTGAAATTACTGGTTTTTAAATATCATTTATCCCTACAAGCCTAGAAATATCAAATTTTAATCATTTCCCTGAAAATTTGTTTAATAATAAGTTTGATTGTATTTGCAAATTTTATATCCACATTAATTAATGACACTCTAGGTTTGTCACCTCTACTGACAGGTAGGGGCTATATTTTATACTGACAGTTAATATAAATGTTTATTAGTACAATTATCTGAACATAAGATATATAAAAAACATCAAATAAATAGTAGGATATAATACTATTGGGAAGGACAGGTCAGTGATTTCATTCAACTATTACAAGAAAATGACCTAAAATGACAAGTATTTATGACCCGAGTCACCTTTATTTTGTGATTTTGGTCGAGTGATCATCAATATCAGTGATTTGTTAACTGATACTAGACTTGATCATACAACGATAAAGATTCAATCAGTAATCAATTTATTCATTTAAAAATCAAATTTACTTCAGTGAGTTTAGGGAATTTAAGTCCCTATGTGAAGTGTGTGAAGGGTCGTCATGTCCCATGGCAATTTGACTTTTACCAGAAATCAATGAAATATCAATGAATATTTTTACTTTGAACATATTGGACTGTATGTTGAGGGAATAATTTGATAACTGATAAATATGGTTGACTCATCAAACACCCTGATATAGGCAGTGGTAGCGCCAGCCTCTGGAGACTGGGGGTATAAATAGGAAGCATACTCAATAAGGGGAAAACTGTCGAGGTTAATTCAAAATGAGGCAATGGAGCATCTGAGAGGGTTCTCCCAAGAAATTTTCAAAAAAATTAAATTGATATGGTGCATTCTGACTGATATATCAGGGATAGCATTGGGGGATTCAAATTTTTAATTAGGGGGGGGCAAATGTACCTGGGTTTCCCAGTGGCACATAGGCCTATATCTTAATTCCCAGTTCTAATTATGTTTTGTTTTTTTAACATGATATATTATGTACATGAATATAAACATTGTATATATAATATATGGGTGAACCAGCTGCAGGAAGATTTATATCTTTTAAAATCTTTTTCACAACCATGTGTATGATAAGATGCTGGCCTATTGTCCCATCACAATGTTACAGAATGATATTTAGCAAATCAAATCATTTTAATGGAATGAAATATCAAGTCCAAAAACCTGCTGAGAGTCTTATACTGTCTTGAGTTGAAAATACTGACAACCAATGACAAAGATTATTATTTAGAAACATGATTTTACAGAGCACAATTTACATTTTCAAGTCCGAAATGAGAAATTTTGGGGAAAAATGTGTGTTTATTTCAAATGTAGAATCTTCTAACCTTAAATATCTAAAGATATGTGGCATTCAAATGAATATTTGTGAAACAACAGAAAAACTTTTAATTCTGAGCTCCTTATGGCTGAAAGCAGAGAAGGACCCTTTCATTAGCCAAATATCTTGGGGATTATTCTTCAGTTACAGCAGAAACCGATTTGGATGTTGAAGAACTCATACTGACAAATTATTAAGGAAGAAAATCTCTACCACTAATTACCTCCTCTACCAAGATTTTATCAAATAAATAAGTTATGGACAGAAATTGACCCAATGTTAATTGCCACTGATCATTTTCTCGCCTCTTATGATGACCTTGACTTTACAGTGGTCAGCCATTTACAAATTTAATCATTCGATTCCAATTGGTGGACTTGTTTTATCAGATTGAATACATGTCATGGTCAGGCTGAACTTGATTTGAACAACCCACAATGATGGTAGTCAATGAGGCAATCAGAGGTTGACATTCTTCAACGTTCAAATTAAAGTCTGGCAACTCTCTTGTGGTATTTCTGTATTCATTAGATCAATCAGGTAGAGGAACAGCAAGATAGAAATCTACATTTCCTTTCAGTGCATTTCTTATATATCAGACAGGTATTGACTGAGGACTTACTCATAGATCGGAATTACTTGCTTCTCTAAAGACTTATATTTGTTACTTTATTCCCATTTGTGCAGCACTTGCATTAGAAAACCAGGGTATGCCCTCTTGAGACATATAAGATTGCTCATTTTTTAAGACTTATATTTGTTGGCAGCAACATCACATGTTTGTCTCTAAAGCCATCAACATGTAATTTTGTTGGCAGGCACCAATAGAGAAGTAGGTCTTGCCCTCTTGACATATATTAAGGAAAACTACCCCTTAGAATGCACATTCAACCTGGTTTTCCCCTGTCAGTGATGCAGGTGAGAGGAGCTGAAAAAGTGACCAGTTGTTCAAATTTAACAATACACCGAGTTGCAATGTGCTACAGGTTGTCTACATTTCCTCGACAGTTAAAAATTGTATGGATTTATCAGATTATAGAGGGATTCTGTGGTATAGTTATGGCACATGCTCCAAAGATGAATATATATATACTTATTGGTCAAGAATGGAACTCTAAACATTATGTTTATTCTAAGAGGTAGTGAGACTGGTTAGGTGTCACCATTGCCAATCTATAGGCAACAGCAAATCTATAGGCAACACCAAATCAATAGGCAAATTGTCAAGTTTGGTCAGAGCCCTTTAAGCACTGGTGTAGTGTGATGTCGTCAACTTCAACTTTTATGTCATTTACCACCACATGCTGAACAATGACAAGTGAAATAAGGACCACATGTTTTCTCCATGTTCAGCTGTCCAACCACCAGACTCAAAGCAGATTTTAACTGTCAAGTCTTCTTTGACCTTGTTAAGAATCAAAAATCCAATAAGAAGAAATTTTGTTATCAACAGACACATTTTTTATATCCAATAAGAGTAGAGCATCAAACAGGATTTACTGTAGCTATTTAAATTTTAATTGCTTTGAAAGACTTTGAAATAAAGACTAATCAATGATCTTGATCATCTTTAGTCCATACTCCAGATCAATTTAATTCTGTAAGGAGCTTAAGAGTTGAAGACTTGAATCCTTGTCATCTTTCTTCCTATCTTCAATAGTTTAAATAGCTTCAGGCTTGAGAACTCAACAGATGATTTGAATGAATTAAAGTTTCTAATAAATACCCAGTGTTTTAATTTATCACCATGCTGTAGATCAATTTGAACTTGATTTTAATTTCTTGGTTGAAAAATACACTATTTACTTATTATGAGCGATGTTGAGTTTACTTTCATTGCTCAAAGCCCACAAGTCCCAATATCATAAAGTTAATCCCCGTTTCCTAACAAGCTGCCCTGATATCTTTAACTTCTGATGGTTCCAAATGAACTACTACCCTGATGGGGAAATGTATCCACAATATATGTTTGTTTCAGACAAGCTGCCCTGAAGAGTATTATGTATTTACACAATGTGGTGGTTCCAACGAACTGTCCTGCTGAAAATTGTGTATCCATAACTTGGCTTGGTTTCAAACAGGCCACAGCAGGTAAAAAAAAGCTGCAAGCGAATTGTGAAAATTTACAATTGAAGGGATTATTCCTTTCGTACTATATGCTAACTGGACTGTGTCTTTGAGGAAATAAGTTTCTAATATTTAAGCTAAATTGAAGGAATATCCTTTCAAAATGAACTGTAATCTAATTTCTTAAAACCGTTTTAAACTGTTTAAAAAACTTCTTTCATTATGTCACATTTTTATTTGTAATATTTGTCATCATCTTGTATCAACCAGAAGGCTAAAGGCTGTAATCAAATTAAATTAACTTCATATCGGATTAGCAGCCCACACAATAACCTTTTTAACAATAATTGTTTTTTTACAGATTTACAGCGAGAAATACAGACAAAAATCTTCCATTTTGTTAATGTGTTAAAATTTTGGTGTATTTTGTTACAAGATGGATGAGTTATGCCAGAATAAATAGATCTGATAGTGTGCAGTCTCTAGAAGATTTACTATTTAAAAACAGGTTGAAAACCACCTTTGTGAACTCTCTGAAAGTGAGCCTATGAGATAGTTCTCATGGTGTACAGCCTTAGAAATTTATTTGATTATTTCATATTTTTAGAAATAGGTTAAAGAACATTTTTGTGGACTCTCTAAGGGAAACTCAGTGCAAATGCATAATCTAATTAACCAATAGTTCAATCATGTAATAACAATTTTGATTTTGTATTTTATGTATGTTAAAAACCACCTTTTTGAACTCTCTAAAAGCAAGCTTAATATAAATAGTTATCATTGTTTGCAGTCTCTAGGAATTGACTTGATTTAGTATTTTAAAATGGGTTAGAAAACACCTTTGTGAACACTCTAAAAAGGATTCAAAAGTACAATTGCATAATCGCATTAACAAATAGTTAAATCATGGTAAAAACAATATTACAAATTGATTTTGTATTTTAAAACAGGTTAGAAAACACCTTTGTGAACTCTCTAAAAGGGATACTTAAAAAGGATTCAAAAGTACAAATGCATAATCACATTAACCTATAGTTAAATCATGGTAAAAACAATATTTCAAATCAGAAAAACACCACTAATAATTTTACAGCGAATGATCATAAGTAGGAATTATAATGA